AAAACAGAAGAAAAAAAAGCCAGGGGTGGCTTCTCATACTCATAATCCTAGCTTTTGGGAAGTGAATGTATGTGTGTGTGGGGGGGGGTCAGGAGTTCATTTTTATTCTTAGTTGCATAGTGAGTTCAAGGCAAGCCTGGGTTACATCAAACACTCTCTCAATAAACAAATAGCAAAACTACAATAGGATTTAAATGATTATCAATTATGTGCCATGTTAGATGTGCCATCCTGTTTGGCACATACCTCTAGGTGTCTATGTTCTGTCTTCTAAAAGACTTTAGTGCATAGATTTAGATATTTCTAAATTTAAAAGTCTGTCAGTCATGTTTCTATCTATATTACAGACCCAAAACAGCCACTACCTCCATGATGACTTAATTTGCATGCCTACTTTGTGTTATGAGTATGTTTTTTCCTGCCGGCCAATCTGGACCCACCGTGGCGCCAGCCCCAATTAATACACAGAGATTCTGTATTTGATATAATGCTGTTGGCCAGTTACTAGTTTCTTGTCGGCTAGCTCTGTCTTAATTATTAACCCATTTCTATTAATCTAAGTATTTCCACGTGGTCTCATCTTACCGGAGAGTGGGCCTGGACCTCTGTTGTCTCCAGTCTCTCCATACTGACTCCTCCCTACTACTTCCTGGAATCCTCCTAGTCTCCTAGTCCCGCCTATCTTGCTTTCCTATTGGCCAACAGTGCTTTTTCATTAACCAATAAGAGAAACATATTAACAGGATGACATCTCCCATCAACTTTGCTCTGGCTTAACCCATCATCTTCCCTGTGTTACCTGACTCAGCTGATGACCCACCTTGTTACCCCAACTAAGCCCTGGCATGTTCCTTGCTTATTTCTCATGGGTAACCAGTTCCTGACACTTCATCTCCTAAAGACACCCCTTTCTAGAATCTCTACCTACCCTACTTACCCTTATTACTTACTTTTGTCTAATTTACCATCATCTTTTTTTTAAGAATGCCATTCATTTCCTGGTCTTTTCGTTTCTTCTTTTGTCCCTGTGGAGGTATGAATGAGAAGGCCCCCATAGGCTCATACATTTGAATGCCTGGTCTCCAGTTGGTGGTGGAACTGCTTGGGAAGGATGTGGAGACGTGGCCTTCTTGGAAAAGGCATGTCACTGGGGATAGGCTTTGAGATGTCAAAAGTCCATGTCAGCCCCAGCCCTGCTCCCTGCCTTCTTCCTGAGGATCAGATGTGAGCTCTCATCTCCTGTTCCAGTGCCTGCCTGCCTGCCTGCCTGTTTCCACACTGCCCAATCTAATGGCCGTGGATTCATTCTCTGGATGTTAACAAGCCCCTAAGTAAATGCACTCTTTCAGAAGTTGCCTTTGTCTCATCACCATGTAATAGAACAGTGACTAAGAAAGTCCCTTGGGTTATGTCTCGTTTCATATGTTGTGTGAATCACATCCCCTCCACATGGGAACTGTCATTAGCTTCACAAAACCTAAGCACCTCACTGTGCAAGAGCTTACCCCTTGTTTCTTCTTCAATCTCCTTTACTTTTCTCCTTGCATGGTCTATGTGGGTCATCAGTGCCTACAACCTCTCTGGCCTTTTGCACTTGTCTGTCCAGAATGTTCTTTCCTTGCTGATTAACTTGGTGTATCCATTCTTTACTTTGAATTCTTACTAGAAACATTCCCTCTGCCAGGTAAACTATAGCAGTTATCTTTGCTATCACTGTGAGAAAATTCCTGACCAAAAAGCAACATAAGAAAGGAAGAGTGTGGGGCTGGTGGTGGCGCACGCCTTTAGTCCCAGCACTCGGTAGGCAGGCAGATCTCTGTGAGTTCCAGGCCAGCCTGGTCTACAGAGAGAGTTCCAGGAGAGCCAGGGCTGTATACAGGGAAGCCCTGTTTTGAAAAACAAACAGACACAAAAAAACCCCAACCAACCAAGCAAACATACATACCCCCCAGAAAAAAAGAAAGGGTGGATTTTGTCTCACAGGTTTGTCTCACATGGTGGCCGGGAAGGCAAGGCAGCAGGAATGGAGGCTAGTTACACGACTACAATCAGGAAACACACAGAGATGAACACTAGTGCTCAGTTTTTTGGGGGGTGGGGTGGGTCTGGAACCCCAACCAATTGGATGTTGCTGCCCATATTCCAAGGAGATCTCCTCTCCTCAGTAAAGTTCTGCAAACACCCTCTCACAGACATGGCCAGAAGTCTGTCTCATCAGCAGTGGCAGTTAAAGTGACAATTGAAGGTAACCATTACAGAACCACACACTTTAAAGTTCTGTCTTCTACAATCATCCCTTTCATAGAATCCCACTTGTTCTCTTTATTGTGTAGAGTGTGTAAATATCTTCTTTGTTGTGCGGTAAGAATTCCCAACTAGAATGGAAGGTACTCACTGTTAACTGTTTAGTTCTTAACACTATGGTGCCCACCCAGTAGCTGCTCAATTAGTGACTGATTGCATATGACTCACCTCTGTGGTCATTGCAGATGTCTGATTTTAGATCCAATAAACAAATGGTCTGTGCTGAAATGAATCAGAGCCTAGTAACTGGTGGAGGGCTGATCAGATCACAATTACCTGTCACTGGAAGTAGAAACACAGTGTCTACAGAGGGAGGCCAGCCTTGTGCCTTCCTTCTTCAGGGAGCTGGCACTTCTGAAGGTGTGATTCTTTGAAATGCATCCTTAATATCTACTGAAGAGGAACTATCTAGGCACAGGGAACGAGTCACAAAAGAACTAAAAACAGAAGTCTGATTCATGAATTTGCTAATGGCTTCTGCCTCCCAAGGGAACCTCCCAGTGTACAATGAAGTCTTTCTAGGGGCTCAGCCTTACGTCTGATGTGGAGGTAACCACAAACCAGAGCTCTGCCTGCCTGTAGGATGGCAGGCAGTACCAGCCAGCTTAGCAGGAGTATTCAAATGGGTGTCTGCCATCATGCTAGAACTTGATGCATCTTCTAGATGCAACTTCTTCTTGTACCTCTGTTTTGATGTTACTGATCTCAAGGGCAACTACGTGTGTGTGGGGGGCACATGGACATACAAATGAATAATTTGTGATAAAATTATAAAACAAAACCCAAAGCGTCACTGACAAGTGACTTTACAACATGGGAAATAATTGCAGAACCCAGGACAAGAGAGTGTATCTCCTACATTGTATTTGTTGTGGTTTTATTTTATTTTTTCCTTTGAATGGGGTGACTTTTGTGTGAAGTCTAAATTGCTTAATTACATAGCCTGTAAATGGGGAAACTATCGACTGGGTAAATGCAGTGTGCTTTCTCTCTCACCCTTCACTGAACTGTGCAAGGAAAGGGGAAGGAGTGGAGACCACGTTAAGCATAAGGGAAGGAGAGGCTGCCATCTGGTAGACCTGGGGAGGGGCACGGCAGAGCACAAGGTGCAGTGGGTGTTGAAGCTAGCATCTCTCTAATCTTCTCCCCCACTGATTTCCTCCTTCCAGGTCCAGGAACTCTGGTTTCCTCCTCTGCCTCATCTCTCTGGGAGCACCTACAGTGAAAACTGTTGTGGTTTCAGAAACAGTCTGTGTATATCGTATGGCTAAGCACCCACACCTGCATCCTGTGGCTTGACAGTCTTTATGTGCCATTCCCATCCTTAGCCTGCTGAAGCTCTTTCTTATGAAGATGCCAGCTGCACAGAAAACGCTGGCATTGCCAGCCTGTCCACTCTGCCCACAGGGAAGTCAAGGCCAAGCTACCGGGATGTGGCTGGCAGTCTCCAGCATTTCCATCCTTGCAGTCTAGGGAAGAAACACTCTGAAGCCTTTAGCAGACGGATGGGAAACCTTTCTGGCATTCAAAGAGAGACAGAGTAAGAAGCATGGGTTCCCTCACAACCCATTTTGCCCCATCCAAATCCTGCCAAAATGAGTCTCCATTGTAACATGGCCTAGGGTTAGAGGCCATCTTTCTGGCAAAACACCTAAAATGTGTCTATTAGATGCTCTTTGAACACAGTTGTAATTTTTTTATTGACATTTTGATGTAACCCCTTTCCAATATCCTTCCCCCCTTTCTTGACACAAATAAATATAAATTACAAAATAATTTTTCTTTTTTCCTCCCAGGGTGGCTTGGAATAAGGATTCTGAGCTGCAATTCCCTCTATAATGTGTATCTTTAATACTATGATCTTCTGGTTCTTTTCATGGTCGCTAATGGCGGTTGTTCCCAGCACTCTGTGACAGGGTTTCCCACTCACTGGGCATGGCTAGGCTTTCCCTCTCCTGTTACTAACACTGTGCCTTGAAGAAGGCTGCAGCCCCACCCTTTCAGTTCGCAAAAGTGAGACTCTGTAGGGGAATTAACGTTGGGACACAGCCTAAACGGAAAGCTCTCAAGACATTTAAAAATACTTCATTCCCCCACTCTCAGTAGAGGTTGAAATTGGCAAATGTGTCATCATGGATATAGAAAACGTGGACCCCCCCCCCGCCCATTAAATAGCTGTAAAGGGGAGTCAGATGCTGTGTATAGGTTATTGGGGAGGGGTGTGTTGGGCCAGGGTGAGATTTCTTTTTGATGAAATACACTGCGCAGGTCAGCCCGGTGAACAGAAATGAGAAGAGATGTGAAAGATGGAGGGGGTGTGTTATTATGATACTGCGGCTTGGTTGGTGTGGGGGTGGGGGCGTGCTTGTGAATGTGAGAAAGCAAGGGGCGTGCCAGGAGAGCGCGGGAAAGATTACTGGGGAGGCAAGTGTACACATCTTTCCCCTGCATTCAGGCTAGCCGCAGCCCCTGGCTGGGTAAGGGGTGTGATGTGAGAGTGGGGTGGGAGGGGGCAGCAGGCGGGGCCTGCCACGTCACTTGGAGAGTGTTGGGGAGGAAGGGCAGAGCGGAGAGCTAAGCCTGCTGCTGCTGCTGCTGCTGCTGCTGCTGTTGCTGCTGTTGCTGCTGTTGCTGCTGTTGCTGCTGTTGCTGCTGTTGCTGCTGTTGCTGCTGTTGCTGTCCCTGCTGCGGGTGTAGCAAAGGCTTGAAGAGGTGGGAGGTGGGTCCCTGCGCTCCTGCGCCAGGGCAGCCCTAGGGCGGTCCCCAGGCCTGTGGAACAGCTCCCGGGAAGAAGGTGGTGGTTGGAACCGCGACCTTGGCCAGACCTAGTTCGGTGGTGGACGTAGGGCGGAGGCGGAGGCCGAGCGCGGCAGGAGTCTTTGGCGAACCGGAGGGAGGCGCATCTGGCGCTTCGGTACCAGTGGCAAACCAGGGTCTTGTAAGGCTGGAGAAGAGCGGGACTCAGACAAAACCAGCAGGTCTAGAGGGCGGACCCGTGGGTCTCCGAGCCCAGTTTTAGTCACCACCCGGAGCTAAGCCACGCGTCTTTTCCAGCAACCAGTTTCACGTGTGCGACAGTTTGCGGGTTCCAGGCATTCCAGTAATCTTGAGCCAGAGCCACATCTCAGACCTCGCCTGGCAGAGGGACCAGCTGCAGGTTTCACCCACCTAACCTCCAGGTCAGAGTGCGGGGCCCCACCCTAAAGGAGGGCGCTGCCAGAGCTGGGCAACCGGTGCCGCGCTCCGGAGCTCGTGTCGTGGGCGCCGTCCTAGTGGCGGGGAGCGCACCGCCAAGGGGACATGAGATCGGAGAAATCCCTGACGCTGGCGGCGCCGGGGGAGGTCCGTGGGCCGGAGGGGGAGCAACAGGATGCCGGAGAGTTCCCGGAGGCCGCGGGCGGCGGCGGCTGCTGTAGTAGCGAGAGGCTGGTGATCAACATCTCCGGGCTGCGCTTCGAGACGCAGCTGCGCACCCTGTCGCTGTTCCCTGACACGCTTTTGGGAGACCCTGGCCGTAGGGTCCGCTTCTTCGACCCCCTGAGGAACGAGTACTTCTTTGATCGCAACCGACCCAGCTTCGATGCCATCCTCTATTACTACCAATCTGGGGGCCGCCTGCGCAGGCCGGTCAACGTGCCCCTGGATATCTTTATGGAAGAGATCCGCTTCTATCAGCTGGGGGACGAAGCCCTGGCGGCCTTCCGGGAGGATGAGGGCTGCCTGCCCGAAGGTGGCGAGGACGAGAAACCACTCCCCTCCCAGCCCTTTCAACGCCAGGTCTGGCTTCTCTTTGAATACCCAGAGAGTTCTGGGCCTGCCCGAGGCATCGCCATCGTCTCAGTGTTGGTCATTCTCATTTCCATCGTCATCTTTTGCCTGGAGACCTTGCCCCAGTTCCGTGCAGATGGGCGTGGTGGAAGCAATGAGGGTAGTGGGACCCGCATGTCCCCGGCCTCCAGGGGGAGCCATGAGGAAGAAGAGGAGGACGAGGATTCCTATGCATTTCCTGGTGGCATTCCCCCTGGGGGTGTGGGGACTGGGGGAACGTCCTCATTCAGTACTCTTGGGGGTTCCTTCTTCACGGACCCCTTCTTTCTGGTGGAAACTTTGTGTATCGTCTGGTTCACCTTTGAGCTCCTGGTGCGCTTCTCTGCCTGTCCTAGCAAGGCGGCCTTCTTTCGCAATATCATGAACATCATTGACTTGGTGGCCATCTTCCCCTATTTTATTACCCTGGGCACCGAGCTAGTGCAACGCCACGAGCAACAGTCCATGAGTGGTGGCAGTGGCCAAAATGGGCAGCAGGCCATGTCGCTAGCCATCCTCAGGGTGATCCGCCTGGTCCGGGTGTTCCGCATCTTCAAGCTTTCCCGCCATTCCAAGGGGCTGCAGATTCTGGGTAAGACCTTGCAGGCGTCCATGCGGGAGCTGGGGCTGCTCATCTTTTTCCTCTTCATTGGAGTCATCCTCTTCTCCAGCGCTGTCTACTTCGCAGAGGCGGACGATGATGATTCGCTCTTCCCTAGCATCCCAGATGCCTTCTGGTGGGCTGTGGTTACAATGACCACAGTAGGTTATGGAGATATGTACCCCATGACGGTAGGGGGCAAGATCGTGGGTTCACTGTGCGCCATTGCTGGGGTTCTCACCATTGCACTGCCGGTACCGGTCATCGTCTCTAATTTCAACTACTTCTACCATCGAGAGACGGAGCAGGAAGAGCAAGGCCAGTATACTCACGTCACTTGTGGGCAGCCTACACCGGACCTGAAGGCAACAGACAATGGGCTTGGCAAACCTGACTTTTCTGAGGCTTCACGAGAACGGCGGCCTAGCTACCTTCCAACTCCACATCGAGCTTATGCAGAGAAAAGGATGCTCACCGAGGTTTGATGGATGCAGGCAGGGCCTGCAGGAAAATGGGAGCTCTGAGAAAGCCATCTCTCAGGCTTCCTTCTCATGCTCACTACTCCTGTCATAGCTCCAGAGGACCTCGAACCCCCTTCCCCGTACCCAATACATGGCATCCTGGACCAAATACCTGGACTGTAGACTGTTGCTCAGTCCTCGAAGTATTCGAGGTTTCTCCATCTTAGTGACATTTTGGAAATTTCAACGGTGCCGCCCAATCATACCCATCTGTCAAGTGGATGAGATACACATTTCTGCCTGACCTTCACTCAAGACTGAATTTTCATGCCTGAGTCTTGTAATATCACTAGGAATGGTGACATCAATAGAATAGAAAGCTGCTACACTCAGGTCCCTTCTTTAGCGTCCTTTGCTTTGGGTCATGCACCTTTCTGATCTTCTGGTCACTTGGTCACTGAGAAGAATCTTGAGAATGGAAAAGACTTCAACTTGCTGTTTTAGATCAGCACTCTGCCCATCTCCTGGCCAGCAGAGCTGTTAGCTGCACAGCTTTGAAAGTTATTCATGACTAAATTCGGATGGAACTAGAGAAAATACTCCCAACTGGATTATTTAAAGGATGTGAGGGTCGGTCCTAGAACAAAGGGTCCGGTGGATTCCTCTAGGTGTGATCTGGCACAGGAGACACTGGCTGTGGCCCACACATGTCCTCTTCACTCTGATTCTCTGACTCCCTCGAGCTTCCAGAAAAGCTCCTTCTCAGAGCCAAATATACTTTGTGTAAGCATCTTCGTGTGCAGAGGAACTGGAAAATGGAACTACAGAGCCAGGAGAGAAGGCTAGCCAGAGCCAAGCGACTGGCTGGACTACATATAGGAAGCTAGGTGCCACTTAGCAGAAACTGTCACCTTGGACAGGCAGAGGGGCTCTGCTGTAGACAGCAGCCAGTTCTCCCCACTTAGCCCAAACCTCTCTAAGGTCCCTCCACCCTTCTTCCTGGGGATCTGACCTAGGATTGCACATGATTTTTTTGTTTTTAAATAAAGCAACCTCAGCTATAATCTGCAGACAGGTGAGTTCACACATTGAATGCCAGCGTAGCTTTCCTCCCCTGCCATGGGCAGCAACATTTGGGTTGGAGCCAGGAACAGGCACACAGTCATTTTGTTGACTGCCTCACCGTTAGAGAATTTTGCTGAGTCAAGCAAACGTTTGTCTGCTCTGTTCTTCCTTTGGGCTTCATTTGGCCTGCTCTAACTGCTAAGGTAACTTGGTGGTTTCCACTTGGACCAAGCCATCTTTTCCCATTGTGAAAGCACCCCTTCCAGCTGCCCACTGTCCTCCTCCCTAAGTATCATTGCCATTCAGTTTTGCCTTCGATAAACTGTGATGGACTGTTCTCAGTTCTCATGGGTACAGTTCTGAATCCCAAAGGACTGTAACTGTGTTTTTAATTTTATATTGATGCTTTAAGACTCTTTGAAGGGAATGCTTTTTAAAAAAGATTTTCTCAAAGAGCAACATTTGAGGGACTGACCTTGGGGGGTTGGCTTGAGAGGCACTGTGGCTCCAGTGAGTGACAGATCACAGTCTCGGTTTTGCCACAGTTTTACAGGGTAATTTTGGTGTCACAGTCCCTTTTTGTGCCTCAGTTTCCCCATCCATTAAATGAGAGCATTGAAGTCTTCCCCTCCCTACCTCATGCGGAGTATCAATAAACTCACCCAGGAAGATGGGGAAGATGCTATGCAAATGTGTGGATTATAGTAATAGATTTGAGTTTTAGTTCATTGTCCTGCCTTCCTGTCTCCCAAAGGCAAGATTTTCCCCCAGAAGTTTCCATCTTGGATCTAAAGCCTAGGACTAGGGCATTGTAGACTATTTGCTCTCTAAGTATCATCTTGGCCTTTTGGGCTGGGCCTCCATCCTTTCTCTTACCATACAGAATGGAGTGTATTCTTGAGATTGACTTGATGGCCAGAGGTCACTTTACCTGGGAGATTCTCCAAGCCTGGAACTTAGCAAAAGACAGACTAAGACTTCCAAGGCCAGTAAGAAAGTGCTTTTTGTGCCCAACCTCTTTAGTTACTCCTGAGCTCACCCCAGTGGCCAAAGGGATGCCCCCAGCTGAGGGTAAATGTGGGGACATGTGTGCATGGACCTCTGTGTGTGTGTATATATTGTTACCCTCATCACTGTCCTTGTCCTTATGCAAACATTGCCTTTTCAAGTCAGAGCATGCCTGAAAGTAAAAGGTTTGTGGAGAGCTAGGCTCTCCAGGGACTTTGGTTGCCGTAGCAACCTTCCAGACTGTTCTCTCTACTGATTTGGCTATCAAGGGAAAATAGACTACATATCCCAGCTTCTCAAATGGGAGTACCTCCCTTCTATTGGTTTAGGCATTGGTAGAATTAAGACTCAAGACTTTTGAAAACGTGGAGGAATTAGCTTCTCAATGCTTCCTGCCAGGACCTTTTTTCCTGGTCCCATATCTGGTCCTGAAGCTGCCACATCTTACTCCCAAATCTTCAGAAACTTGAATGCTTAAAAACTGTTCAATGAAGCCAACAGCAACGTTAAGGTTTTCAAAAAGAGACCTTAGAGAGGTCCCTTTCACAGCAGCCAGCTGGGCCTTGAGGACATGGATGACACCAGTCTGAGGTGTCCTGGTAGTCTCGTCTTAGATGCAGGCTTTTCCCAGCTCCAAGAGAGACCAAGAAGAGTGAAGTCCCTTCCTCCCAGGGAGCAATGTTGTTCCTGGCAAGAAGCTCAGAGGTGGCTCTTAAGATGTCATGCGGAGCTGAGAGGTAGTGATCCGATTGAGTTTTTGTGGATAATTTTGTCCAGTGACCCCTCCCTGCTCTGACCCTCTATGTGGACATTGTGACCTTGGCATCAGGAGAATATTCACCGAGTGCTGCCTCAACAGCTGGAATAAGATCACAGCTGCCTAAGAAGGTGGGTCCAAGTCATCCTAACAACCAACTTCAGCCGGTGGGGGCTCCCAGACCACTTCTTGGGACTGCCAGTTTCTGCTGGGGATAAGGACACTCCTCCTGCCTAGCATCCCAGAGGAGCAAGGGACAGCTGGTCTTCCTTGAATCTGAGGTAGGTCCCCCAGTAGAGGCGGGCTCGGCATCTGGTGAAGCAGGGTTTTACTGCCTTGCTGTGCGATTCTCTTTGTCTTTTTGTTTCTGTCTCCTTCTTCCCTGCCTCCCCCCTCCCCCGCTTTTCCTCATCTCTTCTCTGCAGTCTTCCCTCCTTCCCTGCTATATACATATATTCTTTCCTCTTCCCTGATTCTCTTCTTTCTGCCCCAACCCCATGAAAACATGTCTTTCCATGTATATTTCTGTCTCTTTCTCCCCCCTCTCCATCCTTTTTGGCTTTTGGGAGCTGCTTTGGCATTACTGTGAGGGCCATGCGTTGGACTACAGGACAGCGGTGATCCAGGATTTTGCTAAGAAGGTTCCCTGTTACCTGGCATCTCAGGATACCATATTTCCCTTGCATACTCTCTGTCCCTGGAGGAGCTGCTCTTACACAATAATGTGAGATTCCATTGGGGTTAGTAAAATGTCTTCTAGAAATTTCTTGAGCATGAAAATGCTAGGATAAAAGAGGAAGGTGGCAGGGAGGAAGGGATGTGAGGAGAGACATAAATAGAGCTGTTGCTATCTAGATAATAGATTTGAATCTCAGGTACTCGGTCATTTAGCACTACAGTATATGCATCTCAGGGTCCTCTAGCTTCAGGAGCTGTGCAGAGAGGCTGGAGTCAAAGAAAGAGTAAAAACGGTGAAACAGACAAAGCTGGACTAGCCTGGAGGAAGCCAGACAGATCTAATCACAACTTGACACTCACATGGAGGCTAGCTCAGCCTCTGGCTGGCTCCTTGTGTCCTCAAGGCAGAGCATGAGGAAAAGGCACCATTTGCAGTGGTTAAAAAAGGGGGATACCTCTTGATGCAGAAGACCAAGATTCACTGGCTAGTCCATAGGGAGAGTGTGTGGACTGCCCCTGCCTGGGGCTTCAGGGTGAAGCCCCACCTCTATCGAGACAACCTGGTGGCCATCAGGACACACAGGGATCAACACAGGCTGTTAAACTAGAACTTTTGAGGGTGACAGCTGTTCTAAAACATATGTGTTGATAGGTATATGACTTGGGTGGGGGAGACATGAATCTAATGACCCAAGTCTTCTCATGAGCTGGTGCAAGTTCTGGTTTCATAAATCAAAAAGATGGACCGTGCAGACTATCTGTATCAGGCTCCCCCCACCCTCCTGCAACTTTAGGGTTGTCCTGTGGTGTTCCTTACATCTGTCAAAGAATATCAAATAGTGGTGCATGTGTGTGTTTGTGGGTGTGATCTCTCTTGAGTGTGTACATGGTGCATTTGTGTGAATGTTTATAGTGTGTGGGTAGTATATATATATATATATATATATGTGTGTGTGTGTGTGTGTATACATATATACATATATACACACACATATATATATAGTATGTTTATTGTATGTGTGAGGTGTGTTTGGTGTGTGGTATATGGGTGTGGTGTGCGTGTGCATGTATGGTGCCTGTGAGGGCACTGTGGGGTATATATGTGTGTGTCTGTGGTGTTGTGTGTGTGTATTTGTGTGTGTATGTGTACATGTGTGTGTGGTATGTGGGCTGTGTGTATGTGGTGTTGTGGGGTCTCTGTGGGGTATGTGTTTGGGGTTGCTGTGGGATGTGAATGTAGTGTGTGTTGTGTGTGTATGTGTGTGTCTATGGGTCTCTGTGGAGTGTATATATATATGTATGTAGTATGTGTGTATGTGATGTGATGTGTGTGTGTGTAAGATGTCTGTGAAGACTATGGGGTGTGTGGGGATATGAGGTGTGTGCATGTGGTGTTTGTGGGGTGTGTTGTATGTATGTATGTGTTGTTTGGTGTGTGTATGTGTGTGTATGTGTGTGTATGGTATGTGTGAGTTGTCTGTATGGTCTGTGTGGTGTGTGCTTGTAAGGTTTTGGTGGGGTGTATATATGTGTGGGGTGTTTATGATGTGTGTGGGTTGTTTGTCTGGTATGTGTGGGTCTCTGTGGGGTATGTGTATTATGTATGTATGGTGTGTGGTGTGTGCATGGTGTGTGTGTGTATGTGTCTGTGATGTATGAGGTGTATGTTTGTTTATCGTTTGTGTGTGTGGGTTGTCTGTGTAGTGTGTGTGTGTGTGTGTGTGTGAGTGTGGTGTTTGATGGGTCTCAGTGTTGTGTGTGTACACATAATATATGGTGTGTGAGGTGTATGTTTGTAGTGTGTGTGTGTGTGTGTGGTGTGGGATGTCTATATGGTGGTATATGTCTAGTATATGTCTGTGAGATCTCTGTGGGATGTGTGTGTTGTATGTGTGTTGTCTATGGAGTCTGTGGTATGTGTGTGTATGTGTGTGGTATGTGTGTGTGTGTGTGTGTATCTGAGGGTTATTGTGGTGTGTATGTG